CAACTCCTGCTCTCTCTAGTATATAGTATTATACAGACTAAAATAAATACTGTATACAATTAGAAGACTAAAATGCTTTTCCCCCAAAATTATTCCTCAGAATGTTTGAATACTTACAAAATTTCATATAATCCCTTATTTATTTTGAAGCATAAAATACTGTGTCTAGGAGACACATTGGCCCGAAAAAAGAAAATCTCAATCCTTTTGAGTTTTGGATGCTGACAGCTGAAGAAATTGTTGAAAGGCAGGCAATAAATTTCAGAAAGATACAGTAATTATTAATTTGTGGTGGGGGGCTGATGACCTCACAATTGTTAAGTATTATATGGTGCTGTTAACAAGTCTTTTGAAGGTAACTTTAAAAAGCAACAAGATTAATTGTTTTAGAGTCAAGGATATACATTTACCTGCTAAATGGGAAGAAAAACCAACTTTCCTGATGTTATATGAATGAGCATTTGTAGCTTGGGACAAAAATTCCAGTAACAGTATAAAAACGGCTTCAAAAAAAGTAGAATATCTAAAACAACTTGTATGGAAATAAAGATGATAGGTTCTAAAAAAAAAACTGTTAAATGTCTCAAAGTACTTCCATAGAAATTATGAATACATTGCTGTGGTAGTTATGTGCCATCTTGGCAGGGCCTGGTTGAGTGGCTGGGCAGCAGGTGGTAGTTATTCCCCATGATGAGACTGGCAACTCCATGGTGGGATCTACCACAAGCAGCTGAGTAGCTGCCTCTGGGATATGGTCTGCTTCCTGTATATAAGGAGAAGTCTTGGGAATGGTCTCTGGCTTATAGCACCTTGAACCCTGCATGTAGCCATGTCACTGTTCAGCAGCCTGCCATGCTCTGCTGACCTTGGGACTTACAATGGACTTGAATTAATTGCCTGCCATGTGATTTGGTAATATCGGGACTGTGCCTTTTTACTTGTCAACCAGCCAGCAGCTGTCTCAGTGAAGAAAAGTCTTCAGCTTCAGTGGGCTGGGAGCTGGAGGAAGAGCTGAAGCCCAAGGCTGAGGGGCTTTCACGCAGCCCCTAGAGCCTGGCACTTTGAACTTGGACTTCTAGCCTCCTGAACTGCAAGAGAATAAACTCCTGTTTGTTAAGGCCATCCCATTTATGGTATATTTCTGTCAGAGTGACATTAGGTAACCAGAACAACTGCTATCAAAGATATATGTGGCCATCTGAATAAAACCGTCTCCTGAAACATGATATTTGGTTATTTGATCTTCATCCCTGTAAATTTAAAGTTGGCCAAAACACTTTTAGCTTTTGATCTCTTAGGAAAATGTCTTATATATAGGGTTGTTCATTTTGGGGACTTTTAAATAAGTTACTAATAGTATTAAGCCAAAATGTATTACTTGTATTCTTTTTGTGAGATACTATATATAGTATATAATTATGCTTATGAATCATGAAATAGAACTAAAATCACAATGATAACTGATCACACTAAAATCAGACTACCTTCAAATTGGTAACTTCCTTTCCCCTTTAGTATCAAGAACAAGAAAAAAATGAAGAAGGACTCTAATGGGCTCTTCAGACTGAGCTGGTATGTTGGGATTAGGCCATCATTAGCATTTAACCCCAAAGCAAAATTTCTGGATTGTGTTAAATTTTTTTTGTGTGTTTAACTTCAGCTATTTTATTAGAATTTCACTATCAGTGGTTTTGAGACAAAGTTAAAGCAGGACCACTTTATAACATCAGCATTTTGGTTCTTTAGAAAGGGAAAAATTAAATTAAATTAAAACCCACCTTCTTGGTAAGAACCAAGATGTACTTGTTGGTGAATTCAATCATGCAAATCACATTATTACAAATTTTTGATGTATTAGTAAGACATAACCTTGTATTTTTAATTCATCAAATTAGTTGAATATTAAAATGACTATATCCCAAATTTGAGATAAATCTTCATTTTAAAAGAGAGGGAAAAAAGATTCTGTGTTAAATAGCTTAAAAATACAATCTTTCTCTAAAATAATTTCAATTCATTAACAGTAGTAAGATACATATATTAATTGTTGTAAAAAAATATATGTATCACACATTTGCCAAGTCCACATTTTTTACCCATACAATTCTGTGCCATCAATCACATCAATCACGTTGTGTGGCCATCACCAGGGTCCAAAAGTAGTAAGATAAATTTAAAGAACATTAGTTATTCTAAAATTCAAAACTTAAGTGATTATAGAATAACAGATAATTTTTAAGAAAATAAAGGGCATTCTATTCAGAGGAAGAAAAAGAAAAGCATTCATTTGATCTTACCCTGCGCTTTGTTTTTTCCAGCTGCCCATTTTGGGTATATAAGTCAAATGATGACCAAGGTTCCTTGAGGAGAGGAAAAAAATCAAAACAACATTTATTTCTCTTTGATCAAAGTGCCACAAATTATTGCTGCTGTTGTTAAATACATGTACTCAGTCTAACTGGATGTAAGAGAAACAATGTGATGGTTAAATAATATACCTCTCTCTCTCTTTTTTTTTTTTTCTTCGATAAAGGGTTGGCACAACACAGTACACAAAAAGATTGTTCTATATCCTACTTTGGTGAGTAGTGACTGGGGTATTAAAAGCTTGTGAGCACCCATCTACGATGCAGCTATTGGCCGTTCCTCATCCGGAGCAAAGAAGATTGAAGAAAATCAAAGGCATATGGAAACAATTCAAGGGACTCATGCACCACAGGAACCTCAGCCTAGATGATTGAGACCAGAAGACCTAGATGGTGCCTGGCTACCAATGCCAACCACTGAGAAAGGGATCAAAACTGGAGATCCTGGATAGAGTGGGAGTAAAAAATGTGGACCAAAATTCAAAAACATAAAAAAGACCAGGATTACTGAGAGACTGGGTGAAATCCCTAAGACTACGGCCCTGAGTCACCCTTCAGGCCTGGAATTGGACTCACTCCTATGGCTTAACTCTAAGTTAAGTTAACTTAACTCCAAACAATAGACAGGCCTATAAGCTGAATAAACTACACCAGTCCTAGCCCTTAGAACAGTCAACCATGAGAGACCAGAAAGGCAGCATTTGCACAGGGAGAAAGCTAGGCAGACAGGTTTGTACAAGTAAAAAGGACACAGGAAGGGGTACAGGAGGAGGTAGGAGAAGAGCAGTTAAATTCTGGGGATTGTAATCAGTGTCATGAAACAATACAGAATAAGCAAGTTATGATATAAAACAAACACTTTTTTTTTTTTTTTCTTAAATAATCTAGCCTGTGCAAATATGGTAGCCACTAGCTCCAACCACTCCTTGGAAGGAAGATGGGGCAATCTACTTCCGTAGTGATACTGCCTTGGAAACCCAGGGAGGGGTCGCTATGAGTTGGGTCCGACTCGATGGCACATAACAACAACAACAACAAGCTACTTGATGTGTCTAGTCTGAATTGAGATGTGTTGTAAGTGTAATATACACACTGAATTTCAAAGTCTTATGACAAAAAAATAACATGAAATATGTAATAATTAATTTTTATAATTATATACTTAAATGACAATATTTAGCATTGATTGGGTTAAATAAAATATAGCATTAAAATTAACATGTTTTCTAGTAGCAAAGTTCAACAAGACAGAAAATAACAAATGCAGGCGAGGATACGGAGAGATTGGGACTCTCATACACTGCTGGTGGGACTGTAAAATGGTAGACTGTGGAAAGTAGCATGGCGATTCCTTAAAAAGTTGGAATTAGAAATACCACTTGACCCAGCCATTCCATTACTAGGTATGTATCCTAAAGAAGTGAGAGCCATGACAAGAACAGACATATGGACACCCATGTTCATCGCAGCACTATTTACAATAGCCACAAGATGGAAACAACCTAGGTGACCATCAACTGAGGAATGGATAACTAAACTATGGCATGTATACA